GCGCAGCTTCGAGTGGCGGCGGGATCATCTGGTGCATTGGGGGGCAGACGGTGAGGTGCGGGTAGTTCCGCGGCCAGAAGCGAGGGAAGCCCTGATCCGGGACGTGCACGAGCGCTGCGGGCACTTCGGGGTGAAAAAGACGGTGTCTCTGCTGAGTCCTCAGTACTGGTGGGTGGGGCTGGCAGCGGATGTGCAGAGGGTGGTGCGCCAGTGCGAGGCGTGTGATCGGGTGAGGGCAGCCTTCAACTCCGTGCACCCGGTGTTGCAGCCCCTCCCGATCAAGGGGTTGTTTTACCGGTGGGGACTTGATTTTGCAGGGCCGTTGCCCAAGTCTAGCCGTGGGAATCAGTTCGTGCTCGTCATGGTCGAGCACTTCAGCAAGCACGTGGTTTTCGTGCCCACGGCAGACAAGGAGGCGCAGACGGTGGCGGAGGCATTCACCCGGGAGGTGCTCACGACGTTCGGGGCTTGCGCGGAGGTGGTGACAGATAGGGGGGGCGAGTTCGGGGGTGCTTTTCAGGAGCTGCTCGACAAGTCCTTCATCGACCATCGGTCGACTTCGTCCTATCACCCGCAGGCGAACGGTCTCAGTGAGCGGATAGTGGGGGTCGTCAAGGGGGCGTTGCGAAAGTGGTGCCTTGGGCACGCAGCTGAGCAATGGGATGTGTACCTGCCGTGGGTTGCAATGGGGTACCGGTTTAGCACGCAGGCGTCCCTGAGCGGGTTTTCCCCGTACATGCTGTTGTACGGACGGGAGCTGGTGATTCCGGGGACGGTTCGGGTGGCCATCGAGGAGCCGTTGGACTTGGACCGGCCGGACCGGTTGGTCGCGCTGGTAGCGGAGCGAGCGGCACTATTCCGCAGGTGGGTTCCCATGGCCATGGAAAACCTGCAAATCGCGCAGCATCGCGACACGTTACGGTATGCCAAAACCCGCAGTGGGGCTTGGAAACCCCAAGTCCTCAGGTACGCGGTCGGTGATTACGTGTACTTGCAGCGGGAGATGCTGAACACCCTGGACAGTCGGGCGGGCCCGCGGATTCTGCGGGTTAAGCATGTGAGGGTCGGGGGTGTTTTGGAGCTGGAGGGGGCGGATGCGCGGACGGTCCGGGTGCACATGGAGCGGTGCGCTCCCTGTCACAGAGCTGACATCGACGACCGGCAGGATGCGCGCCTGGCGAGACCCACCGTCGACTTCGCGTGCACGCGGTGCCGGCGGGCTGATGACGAGGCCTCGATGCTGCTGTGCGACGGGTGTGGGGCCGGGTGGCACACGCGATGCCTGGTTCCTCCGCTGGCGGCGGTTCCTGAGGGTGATTGGTTTTGCCCCAGGTGTCAGGCAGCCCAGGCATTGGTTGGCCCAGTCGGGTCAGCAGAGTGAACCGTGTTTAGGACGTTGGGGGTGCACGGTTCAGGAGGGGAGAGTGTGACATTTGTATTGCGTTGACACGTGTCTAGGTGCCTGGCGTAGCTGGGTTTAGTGAGAGATCCCCGGGTAGGATCGCGACAGCTGTCACGCCAGATTGCCTCGCGACCGGGTTATCTCGCAACCCGGTCGTTAAGCTAGAGTCAGCCGTAACTAGCTAAGTCCGGTAATGCATTGATCGTAGCATGATTACCGTACAGAACAGCTAAGTAGGAGAATGAGCTGCTTGTAGCTCATTCTCTCTTTGTTCGTTCTAAGGCATATAAGGGCGGCTTTTACCAGCAACCATTGTCCCCCAGTTATGCTGCATGACGGCCAGCAGAGAGTCTCCACATAAGTAGACTGTGCTTATGTGTATGTTGTGACTAGGCGAAGGTGATCTGTGATTGAAGTAATCATTCTAGAGTGTGACATTTGTATTGCGTTGACATGTGTCTAGGTGCCTGGCGTAGCTGGGTTTAGTGAGAGATCCCCGGGTAGGATCGCGACAGCCATCTTGGCTAGAAAGCACCCCCCCCAGCTCAAATGCACTCCACTCTGTCTCCCCTCAGCTCAAGCACGCCTGCTTTAAGCTCAAAACCTCCAATTCCAGCTCAAACACATAACTTGAGGTGAAACCCTAAAACCACACACCCCCACGATGCGCTGACGCCCCCGTCTTGCGCACCCACGACGAAGCGCACTCGCCTCTTTGCTTGCAAGCCCACACAGGGCTGCCTTGCCGCTCCACAGTTTTGCCCCCAACAAGCCGGACCACACTACCAGGCTGATTCACAGCATTTGTGCCTTTCCTCAACCTAACAACAAGCTGCACTCGGCAAGTTCTTTCGGTCACCCTCCTCGTCTGCAGCAGCTTGAACACACAAGCTGCCCCCCCGATGAACTCCTCCACTACTGGAACGAGCCTTACAGGAAACAAGACTCTAAACTTTCTGTACGTAAATATAAGCACCCCGCTTATGATGGAATGTCAAGTGGCACACCGCCACGCCGCCATGTCGCACACCGCAACACGCACCACATACAAGAGCACAAACACATGTGCTCAGGGAACTTCTGCTTTGGCACTCATGAAGAAAAGCTGCCTATGGAAGTCTCACTATGCAGCCATAGCGCGCCTTCCTCCTTCTCAGAGCAACGTACAGAAAGTTGCATCAGCAACTTTGGGGTCAAGCTTATAGGGCTGGCCGCAGTCACTCAGCATTCGAGTCTACACACAGTAGACTACAAACTGCAGCAACCTACAGCCGTCTGATCGGGTCGAGCCCTAATATCAACGGCTCACAACTCGCGCGCGCGCGCAGCTCCGATGAGCCACGGCAACGAGCCTCTACAGCGTGACAGCTGCCACAAGATCCATCACTCTCCCCTCTGTCATTCCCCGCGGTAGCCTGTCGACGAACTGGCGCTCAGATTCCAGGGCGCTTCGACAGGAGATTCGTGCATGGTGATGCTGCCAACTCGCTCCACCATCAGCACACCACCATCACGTGCTCACTCCAAGGCCAGGTATGCAGCCCACCCACTCCCATGTGGTACGCTTCCTGCTTTCCAGTGTCTGCTTCTTGCTTCAGGCTTCTTCCAGTGGATCTTATGCTGTTGTAGAGATATCCCCTGCTGGCACCCGTACATTCCTCCGCTCATGGGCAGAATGTGATCTTGGTCATCTTAGACGTACACATGCCCTCAGTCGGGGTTGTACGTCGCCTTGCATCGGTCTGCCCACGGAGTCTTGCACCACGGGTTGCCATAGGGCCTCTTTTGATATCTCTACTTCTCTAGCATTTTTCAGGGTTCTGCTTGGATGCACCTTGCTTGAGCACAGACTAGTATTGGGAGCTTGGTTGCCGTCTTCCCAGGGCTATCCAACATCTGTCATGGCCTCCTCTCCGAGCGTACCGCTTCTTTCCCCTTACAGCGGGGTGTCCAGTGGCTGTTACGACCTCGCTTCTCTTATCGTCTCCTCCCCCCTTACTTGGGATCCGGGTGGCTCTATCATCTGGGATCCCGGTGGCCGACCTTGCTTGATCACCAGCATTTATGCCTCACCTCTATTTAGGGTTTCATTGCAGATCTCTTCTGTGGAGCCTTGCTCCTCCCCTTCTCTTTTGCTTTCGTCCCCATTCGGTATACCCTCTCAGGAGTGGGGAAATGCTGCCCAATTCATGCAGGGCTCTCCAGGTTTCCTTGGTCTTTCGCGGGCATCGGACTCGGCCTATAGCACTTTTATTGATCTACCTGACTGTGAGCCCTCTCTTCTCCCCTCCCCTATCCCCAACCTCCTTATTCGGGTTTCTGCTTTTTTTATCCTCATATTGTCCATGCTTGCTATCCTTCTGCATCCACTTTTGGCCTATTTGCTTTGATCACCTTTGTGTGGTTTGCTTTCCATCTTCACACTCTCATGCTAGAACATATATGGGCAACTGCCACCTCTCTTATGTTTCAAGGCCGCTATCGCCGGCACCGTCGATTCCGTGCATGTTGCCATCGGCTGCGTCGTGCATACCGCCAGCTCTCATACCTGCAATACATCCATGGTACTTTTGTTCTTTTCCTGTCTGGTAACAGTGATCCCACCTCATTATATCATGTGATGCCTGCACTCTGCCATCCTATCGTGCATAATTCCAACACAATAGTAAATCACCGCATCCGCCACTTGCGGAACTTACTTCATAACTCCCCGAGAGGATCATTATCGACACATCTATGCATGGTTCCCTCTTCATGGATTGCAGCTCGCACGTCTTGTTTTATTAATGTGCTTGCTCCTACTCTGCGGCGACATACATCCTAACACGGGCCCAGCTGCCTCTCCCATTGATGTCCCCTCTATCGTTGTTACCGACCATCTCCGCATTCTCAATTGGAATCTTCGTGGCATTGACGGCAAATTAGCCCGCCTCCCAACTTTCCTTCGTTTGCATAACGTTCACATTGCTATCCTTATCACACGCCGGGTCCATTCTCGGTCTTCGCCGTCCGCTCCCTCTACTAATCTTGAGGGTTATACCTTTTACAAGTTCTTCTCATGTAGACTCAACCGCCGCATCTAATTACCTGGACCCCCGCTTACGCAAATGGGGAGTCTGCCTAGCCGTAAAAGACGGGCTTGCTTTCCAACCAGCTCCAGTTCCCCACAAATTGCAATCTCGTCTCCTACAAGGTGCACCCACCCTGCGGGGCCCCACTGACAGTACCCTTATCCTTCACATATTTGGAATCTATGCTCCTGCCAACCAGCAACAAAAAGCATCTTTCTGGACAGATCTTGCTCAACACCTGAAATCGGCGGCGCCATCTGTTCGTTCTGAATCCCACCCGCACATCCTGTTGGGGGGCGACTGCAATAGCTACCTGGATCCTTCGCGAGATATCTTCCGATCTCCCTCTCTTGTTGTGCCGGTGTCCTCTACAAGTAACTCCCCGGACAACCAGCATGGCACATTTCTTCGCCGTTTCATCGAGGACCTACGAGCTACCTCGATCCATCTTTTTAACCCCCTTTCAAGCTCACAGTATACTGCCCCTATCCACTACACATACGCCAATGCTAATTTCACATACCGCTCGATCCTGGATAAAATCTTCATCTCGTTTGCTCCGCAGCACATGGAACCCACAGTCGTACTTGACTGGGATCAATACAATTTTGTCGGGGCTTCTGATCATCGTGCTACTCTCTCAAGTATCAGCCTTGCCTCTCTTGGTCATGGATGGATCGCGTATCCATCTGTTCCTTTCCGCTCCCCCCCTCTCATTAACATTGACAAACTTAAAACGATTGACCCGTTAACTATTTCCTCGGAGATTTCTTCATGGCAGATCAATTTGCTCCCTTCTGTCTCTGCACTACTACTGTCAACCCCCACCAGCGGACCACAAGCTGCCGCTTCCATTTCTGACACCCTCCTGTCCGACATTTACAGCCATCTTCTTACATTATGTGTCGACATCCCCCGCTCATTGCTGGCTTCGACCGGCGCGCCTGAACCGCGCCGCAGCATCTACAAGACCAGTGAAGCAGGCCAAGCTCAGGCGATTGTAGTCTGGCTTCGTCGCTATCGTTTGGCCCTTCGCCACTTCCATGATGCCCATACTTGGGGCCACCGTAATCTGACAAAAGGCCCTCGCAACACTGTTCGTCGCATTTATCACGATTTTGACACAAGTTCCCTTTTTCGTACGCATCTGTCTGCTCTCCTACCTCTTCAACCCCGCTCGAATTGGGATCTCGCTTCCTGGCAGATCGCCTGGGACCGCACCCTAGAGCTCCAGCATCTCTGGTGCCGGCGCCTTACCGATGCCTTACGTACTGCCAAGCAATCCTGGCTTGTCCACCGTCGTGAAAATGCCTACGCAGCTCCGCCCAACTCTCGCGAGCGTCGAGCTTTGCACTTCGTCCACAAGAATGCTTCGACGGCCCTTCCTGCCCTCATGCGGCACCCGGCCGACTCTACTCGCCTGGTTACGGGCGCTGCGGTCAATGATTTTTGGGGCTCCTCTGCGGCTGCCGCCAAACCCAGCACGATGCCCATCGAACAGTCTAAGGATGCCGCGTCTGCCCCGTGGCTACAGCCAGCCATCTGGGCATCTCTCCGCGCCGCACTCAATACCCGTGAAACAGCTATTATGGCTCCCATGTGACGATTACGTCTGGTTAAGCCTAACCTCGTTCTCGTCAGGATTTCGTTAGCTGCTTGTTAGCGAAACGACAGCGGTTACGTCTTAACGGCGCGCTGTGAGACCGTTGATATACGGCGTTCTATCCAGATGACTCGACCTGGTCTTGTCTATCTGTGATGCTTTCCCGGATGGAACGGCTTTCTTTGCCGTTGCTACCATTCCGGTGGATCTTCGTTCGGCTCTGCCGTTCGATGCAGTCAAGCAGATATCTTGCTG